AAATCTAGTGTAGCGTTAGTTCTGGCAGGTCACGTTAGTCAAGCTCGCATCAGCTGACCTTCAGCTGATCCCCATCTACCTATGGGAATATGACAGCTAAGCATTCATATATAAGGACCCTCCGTGTTATCAGCAGTTTTCGCATTGCTCAATAGCTAATTACCCTCCTCCATCCCCAGCTCCTCCTCTGTCAGTCAAGATTCAGCCTTCTGATTCTCCTTTGAATCAGACTAATTCTAAAATGTTTACATAACATTATTGAACTTAACGATATCTGCAATACATTTATGTTGGTTCTGTTCACCCTGGGGGGTTAACGCTGCTCTCCCTGCTCTCATCCATGCTAGGCTGCATGGATGCGCAGGGAGTTCTTGCACAGAACAGAACCATACCGCCAATCCAAACTGTATGCTAATTGTCAATCATCTTTGACGATAGTGGTCCTGACAGAATTCATGTAATTAGGTATTTTGCTGTTACTGACAGAAAAGTTCTATTTAGAGCTATTCTAAATAGAACTAAGTAACTAAGAACTAAGAATATAAGATCTATTTATGCACTAAGTGCGCTGCCATAACACAAAATTACAAGAATGTGAACATACAATCTTTTTATAAGTACAGTAATTCTGACCTGACATGAAGCTATCAGGACAATCGGACTGAGACGTGTGTGTTTTTACAGAGACCTTCAAGACGCTGGACACAGACGCTGATGGATTCATATCGCTCACGTTCTTTCAGGTTTCACTTACACCAACAATTCAACACACTGCAAACACACGTAGAGAGACGAACATGTCTGAGATGAATTAGTCATGTTTAGTTAACCTCTATACATGTGAATAACATGCTTGGTTCAAAGACTGTTTGCAGTGTGTCAGTCAAGCTGTTGTATTCTATAATGATCTTTCTCTCTGTGTTGCAGTGGATTTCTCTGACCATGTTTGCCTGAAATTGACACAGATTTTCACCGTTCGTCTGCACTGAGACTGTCTTCTCATCTGTAGTCCTGCCATCTGAAGAGTGCCTTCATTTTTATACTTCTGTAATGCATTTCTATGGGATAAACAGCCTTAATGATGCAACCCTGTTTACATAGTCCACATGCAAAACACTGTGCCAAACGCGTTTCTAAAGCCAAGAGAAAAACATTTACAGCATGTTTTTTATCATTTCCAGATTGAGCTGCATGCATTTCTCCAGATGAAACTCATTCACACTTTCTGTGCCAAATGAATCATTGCCAATTTCAATCATTCTTCATTTTCATCGCTATTTTATGATCATGAGCTGCATATCTTTCAGTGAATGTCATATCTTAATGCTGTTTGTATAAAGACCGCTGTATTAGACATGCATGCGCTGGTGATGCTGTAGATCGAACCTAGCTTTACTTACTGAAGGGGATTTGGTTTAGACTGAATTTCATGCATGCAGCTGTTTTATGGGACAAACTGTTTGAGATGTACTGAAAAACCAAAGGATCTTTTAACAAGCGATAAGGGACATACACTTTTTAAAAATGCCATATGCATTCCTTTAGTTCTGTTTATATGAACAATGCAAAACATCCATTTAATACAATCTAGAAAGGAGCAACAACTGGGAACAGATTGAATCTGATTTTCATATACGCAGAACCATGCGCTTTAACAAGACGGCACTTTTCTTTTAATAGAAAGATGAGTATGAAAAGTGGAGGATTTTCTTTTTTCCCCCCAATGCCAAGCAAAATGTTTGTTTTTTTTCCAATGTTGATTCATTTATGTGGGTTTTCAATAAACTTTCTTTTAAAGTAGCACATTTTTTGGTTCTTGTCAATGTGCGTGAGCAAATATCTGTAATGTTGGTTGATATATCAGCATTGGCAAGAATATTAATTCTTGTACAATTACGTATGTGGCTTTATGACCTCATTAATTTATATATTTTACATTGAATATTTGTAATTAAAAATCTCTCGGGTGACCATTTAACTAAAAAGGCTAAAAGGACATGATGTAGCAATGTTGAAAGTCAGCAACACCTTACAAATTCACTTATTTTAATCTAAACGACTAGCAGTGTTTAAATTTAAAGAGAAGAAAATGTAAAAAATGCACAAAAACACTTGGTGTATAAAAACTGTTTTACTTTACTGACACCAAGGCATATACAAACAAAACTGAAACGTTTCTGAAATCGTATTTCAGATTAATAGTAATGAATGTAATGTCGAATTCATTAGTGAAGAAATGAGTATTTTGTGAAATTAGTGTCATCATGGGTAAAGCGCTGGCTAATGCGTGCAGAGAGGCTTTTATTTTGAAATTAACTGGTACCAAACTTAAGGCCTCGACCTGCAAGTGGGCACCATCAGACCCTTCCTCCTGCTCTGTGCGTTGTGTGTTTGATGTATATTTGCAATATTCATTGGGACAACCTGCTCCAAACCCTACTGCGGTGGTACCAGGGTACACTGCTGGAAATACCAGTATTATTCCATCGCGAGTACTGTATTTATGGACTTCAAGATATCAACAGTGACTAAATAAAGCTGGCATTGCGTGGTACTGTGTGTAACGATGCATATCAAAGATGAACAAACTAAAAAAAAAAAAGTTAACCATGGTAGCCATTAATAACAACAAAACTACTACGAATAAAATAGATAGATCATTTAGAATTCTGTATTTCAGTCAAATCACATTAGATTTGAAGGTAAAAATAATTGTCCAGATTGTTTGTTTGTTTATTAAGACTAATTCCAATTTACTGAATATTATTATCATTCTATTAAAAAGGTTTCCATGATCATGATGAATTTCCATGATGAATTCTATAATTTCTAGCTATTGTTAACACAGTAAAATCATAATAAATCTCAACTTCAAGATTATTTTTTATACTTTAAGACCAGGGGCCTGTTTCATAAAACAAGTTTACCAAATAAACCAGGCTTATTTCAGTTAGTCTGACTTATTTTGAACCAAATCAGCTGACAGTAAGTCAGACTAGCTGAAATAAACCTGGCTTATTTGGTAAACTTGTTTTATGAAACAGGCCCCAGATTACTTATTTATGGCTAATTCCAAACAAATAAATAAATAATTATTATTATTTAAAAAATTGGATTGAGTTTACCATGACACATTGTGTATTAACCCTACTTGTTATATTTAACTAATTATGGGATTTGTAGCATGCAGGATGCTGCCCATGATATAGACACATTGAATAAATTAAAGGTATATTTTTTATTTTGCATATCTATAGGCTATTGTATTATTTTACTTATATGACTTTCTTATAAGCATTTATAAAAATAAGCAAGCTAATTTATATAATATATAAAAAATAATAATCTGTTTTTGCTGTTGTGTTTTAGGTGACTCGTGCTGAATGTGGCGTATGGGGTTGAGAATGCGTTTTCTGATCTCTTCACGTTTAAGACTGTTACCGTGTTAGATCTGCCACAGACAGACATCACCTCATACTTCCCCGAGTGTTTCGAGTTCATAAATGAAGCCACTCAGCAGCAGGTGTGTATGTGAAAGAAGAATATCCAGAGATAGTGTGTGTGTGTGTGTGTCTGTGTCTGTGTCTGTCTGTGTGTGTCTGTGTCTCTCTCTCTCTCTGTGTGTGTGTGTGTCTGTGTGTGTGTGTGTGTCTGTGTTTGTGTGTCTCTGTGTGTGTGTGTGTGTGTCTGTGTGCGTGTGTCTGTGTGTGTGTCTCTGTGTGTGTGTCTGTGTGCGTGTGCCTGTGTGTGTGTGTGTGTGTGCCTCTCTGTGTGTGTGTTTAACCTGTTTTCTGTGTGCTCCTCAGGGTGGAGTGGTGCTGGTCCACTGTAACGCCGGCTGTGAAAACCGCCAGGCCTTACATTCAGCCAAACCCAGGCTTTATGAGTCAGCTGAAGAAATAATAACACATGATTCCACACAAAGACTGATTTTTGTAAACCGAAATGTCCTGTTCTTAGCATCTAGATGTTTCCCAAACTGCTTGATTACTGCACACGTCAGATTTCACACAGCACTTGATGAGTTTATGAGTTGATTAGATGAAGCAGGCGTGTTAGATTTGTTAAGACACCAGAAATGTGAAGTTTGGGGACTCCAGGGCCAGGATTAAGAAACGGTTTTAGTGTCAACGTCTTTTATTTCATATTTATATTTGATTAGTTATATTAAAATATTTTTTTTATGAATGTTTATGTTTATACTTGTTGCAAAAATACAACATTTTAAACCCTCGCTGCTGATTTATTGATGGCCTTTACATTTAGTGGGTGACTTTTATTTTGAAATCCATCGTGACCGGAAACTGTTCAGAGTCCGCGCACACGTCACAACACAACAACTGAAGAGACTTCGACAAAACAAACAAATCGGTGATATTTTCACCTGTTTAGTGATTTTTAACGATATTTTACAGGTGTGTATAGAAGCATGTCGTGTGAAGCATCGGTCCAGGAACAAGTGCTCTTAATAATGGACAGTTTAGTCACTTCTATAGTGACAGAAATTTGTCAACTCGATATTTTTCAGTCAAAACGTCAAAATGGAAATCCAGAAACTGATATTAAAATGGTAAGTTCGTCCAAAAGTATAATGATTAACATTTTAACGTTTGTAAATATGTTAACCATTTTACTTTCACTAAAAAATACCGTGGTAATCATAGTTAACGTTACTTCCAAAATATACAATAGTTGATGGTTATTTTACTAACGTTACTGTAAAAAGATAATACACTAATATGGGATCCTTCGATTTAGATATTTTATTTATTTTATGATAAGCCCTTTTTTCCCCCGATGATAGCTGGTTAATATCAAACCACCTCAGTTAATGTTTGAACTATCAGAAAAAAGTGGACCTTGAAAAAAGAAAACATGCATTTAATAAATAACAAAATATATGGATTTTCAAACCTTGTAATATTCGTAATAAACATGGGAGCGTCAATCCTCAACATTACATGTGCGGAAACCTAATAAAGCTAACCTGTTGTATGCAACAGTTAGGTAAGCAAAACTTTTAATTAGACTGATTATTTCTTGTTTGATTCACAAGAATCTGACGGCTGCTATAAGGAAAATAACAAACTCAACAGCGGAACACATCTGCAGAATCCTTCATAAAGCATCAAGTGGATCAAGAAAAGATCTAACACAACCAGATCAAGTCAACCATATGGTAGAGCAGCAGTTTGCTGGGAGTGGAAGACCACTTAACACTCATATCAAAGATGAGGAACATGTCAAAGGTGGTTCTCCTCATAATTAAATCATGTGTTACTGTTATTTTAATAGATTAAATAAGAAAAATACACTGTTGTAGGAGGAGATGAGCAAGATTTCACCTCAGACGTTGTGTCGGGAATCCAGGAAAGATTGAATTGCACCCCATCTGGTGGACATCTTCTTCAGACTGTTGAAGTAACCCACATCCAGCTGTAATTGTTGTGTTTTTGAATATACAAAGGCTTTGATTTGTTGTGCATCAAACTAACATAACCCTGACTTCATCTAGGAAGAGCCGGAGTTCAGATTTGAAGAAGTATTTGTCCATGAAGAGGAACAAGTAGTGTGTCAAACTGCTGCTGTAGATGGTACAGACTAACTCAATTAATGCAATTGGATTAACATGGTATAATATGTTAATGTAAGGCCTAAATATACAATATCATATCTATAAACATGCCTTGTTCATGTTACAGAATCAATAGAGCCCGATGCAGATGAATCTGTAGAGCATCAAAGAGAAGGGCAGTGGACCACTGAACCAAACTCTGAATTAAATGACATTTCAGTACCATTAAACACACTGGATCCACCCGATATTATCGAGACAGGATTGGACGTCCCAATAGACGCCGCTGAAGAAGTGCAACCGAATGCAAGCGATGAGCAGAACATATGCAAAATCTGCGGAAAGACCTTCACCCACCTCAACAACCTGAGAAGACATGAGCAGAAGCTCCACAGCGGAGAAACGCCTCATGCTTGCCAAGAGTGCGGAGAGCGTTTCGGCTCCAGACGCCTCCTCCAAATCCACCGCAGAGACCACAAGGTGGAAAAACCTCACAAATGCACGCTCTGCGACAAGGTGTTTCGCTTGCCCAACCACTTGAGGAATCACATGATGAGTCACGGTGACCAGAGACCGTTCTCCTGCGCCGCATGTGGGAAGAGCTTCGCCTTGATAAGCATCCTCAGAGCTCATGAGCGAACGCATGCTGACGAGAAGAACTTTGTATGCTTGCAATGCGGTTCCAAATTCCTCACCAAGTCTTACTTGGACTACCACCAGCGAGTTCACACTGGAGAAAAGCCATACCTGTGCAAACACTGTGGGAAGAGCTTTGCCCAAAAGGGCAACCTCAAGGCACACGAAAGGCTTCACACGGGCGAACAGCCCTTCAGATGCGAGGACTGTGGAAAAACCTTCGTACACGCCAACACCTTCAAATCCCACAAGCAGCTCCACACGGGAGTCAAAGATTTCTGCTGTGAGCTTTGTGGGAAGGGCTTTCGGCGAGGAACGCATCTCAAGACTCATCTACTGACGCATTCTGGAGACAAACCGTTTAGTTGCGATGTATGCGGGAAGACTTTTGCCCTCAAAGGATCTCTGAAGACGCACCAGCTCACTCATACGGGGCAGAAGAGTTACGCTTGTAACGTCTGCAGTAAGCAGTTCACTCAGGCCAGCTCGCTAGCCAAACACAAACGGGTTCATACGGGAGAGAAACCGCACCGCTGCGGAAACTGCGACAAGTGTTTCTCTCAAAGCAGTCATCTTAACTATCACTTGAAGGTCTGCCAGTCTGGGACAAAAAGTTCTGCAAACTCTTAATGTGGAAGAGAACTAACTGAGCAGTCATTCCGTTTGTGCCTTTCTTGAAAAAACCTAACTATGACCAAATATTTGAGACTTTTCTTAGAAGATCATCCGTTTCATGCCTAATTATTGGATATTATTAGGGTGAATCTCACGAAGAAACTCCTGGGTCAAATTTTACAATGAAATAAAACAATTATATTTTGCATAAGGAAAACATAATATATGAGACTATTTGAAGAGTTCATTTGCAAAAACGGATAACTCATGTAAAATCATGTTTTTTTTTTCATTGTGCATTCCAATTAATCTCAATCAAACTGCAGTTGGGTTATTTTGATTAAGTAAAAATAACACAAAAAATACAGCTAACATAATAAAAACATGATAACGGTAAAAAAAACATGATTTTTTAAAATAAAAAAACAGTTATCGGTTTTTGCAAATAAACTCTTCATTTGCAGATTTGTACATTTAATACTCAAATAAAATGTCTCAAAACCAAACTGAAATAAAGGAGTAGAAATGCAATTTAAAATGTAAAAAACGTAATTGCCATGGAAATAATGTCATGCAAAAAAAAAAAAAAAAGTAAAATATAATTTTTCTTTTAGATTTTTCTTTGAAATATGCAAGAGCCCACAAGTGGACACAGTGTTGGAAAAAAAAATATTTGATGGGGAAAAAAATAAATATTTCAATGGTTTGCATTCACTCGCAAAAATATTGCATTCCCCTGAGAAACTTCGCATTCACTCACAAAAATATTGCATTCCCCTGAGAAACTTTGCATTCACTCACAAAAAGCATTGGCATTATTTTCCCTCCTAAGTGATATTATTTCCATCACAGGTTTTGGGAATGAGAAGAAGCATTCACATTTTTTTTCTCCCATCTCAATATTTCCCCATCACCATGACTCCATAGAAATACTACCAGCATTTAAGATGTTTTTTTGTGTAATGTGTAATATTAAAATTGTACACAAAACTCACTTTTCCACCATAGACGAAAGGGAGACATGCGTAATAAATAGCCAATTTTACTAATAAATGTAAAAAAAAAAACACATAAGATAGACATTTACTGTACATCTACTGACAAATACTACAAAGCAATCAAAGTTTTACAAAGAATTCAACTTTTAAATTAAGACATAGCAACAAATGGTAAACGTCAACTTAGAATTAAGAAACATTAGTTTTGGCATTCAGAGGAATGTAAAAATTATTTGTATTTTTTCTTTTTTAAAGAGAGAGAAAAAAAAAAAGCACTTTCCTGTTGACCGGGTTTATATACATAAGCGCAATATATCACAGACCAAAAATGAAGGGTTTAAAAAGATTCAGAAAGTGAATTGACCTGTTTGACAGTTTTTGCAACCATAACCATAATGTTTGTTCACAGATGAATGAGCGTTCTTTTGTCTTAAGCAAAATTGTTGTTGTGTTCTATCCGGGTGACTATGGTGGACACCAGCCTCTCCAGCTGCTCCGCCCTGTGTTTGCCCGTCTGCAGAACCTCCTCATGATTGGCCTTTTCCTCGCTGTCGTAGTCCATCACTGCCTTATTAGTTATCAAAGACAGAGCGAAGACGCGCATCCCACAGTGCCGTGCCACAATCACCTCGTGAACCGTACTCATGCCTAAAACACATGAAGTCTGGTTATTAAACTAGTTCACATAGAACAAATTGCATATAAACAAATTTGAATTTCAATGTTATATAAAACACATTATACAGAACAATAACTCACTGGTTACTAAACCACTGCTCATTTGCATAAAAAGTTACATTTGGTTCAACTTAAGGTATGTTTACACCACCACTATTGTACTAAAAACGCTTTTTCCTGTGCGTTTTTGAGAAGTTTCGCATACAGACAACAATGTTGTCAAAACGAAAGCCATTCATTTGGATTCACGAAAACAACTAATGCATGCCAGGCCAATAGCACATGCACATGACGTAACCGTTTACAAATCGTTGTGTTTTTATCGTTAGATTCTGCTATTGTAACTTTGTACTTTGAAACCCATTTTCAAAAGTTTGCATTCTCGGTCCCCCAAAACACCATTTTTGTGTAACTGAATGGCCAAAACCCATAAAAATGTCCTGTTTTAAGTTGAAAACTGTGTCCTGTAAACACCCCCTTAAGTTGCCCTGCAAAAGATTGAAAATGAATGCCTTCCAGCTACTTTGTTACAGCATCACTGTTCATTTGCATAGAGTTAAATTTTAAACTCACATTTACATTTACGCATTTGACAGATGCTTGTATTACATTTCAGGTATGCATTTCATTAGTTCAGGCATTCCCTGGCAATCGAACCCATGACCTACTACAGGAATACTAACTGTTGTCAGTTCGAATGCTCTTTTCAGCATGTCGGAGAACTGCGTAATACTCTATTATATTATTTTATATCATAAAGCTACAATAGCATGTTCTGATTGGTTGGCTTCACAGCAGACGAGACTCTTACCGACAGCATCAGCTCCCAGTTTGTGCAGCATGCGGCACTCTGCGATCGTCTCGAACGACGGTCCGCCTAGAACGCAGTACACACCCTCTCGCAGGAAGTCACTGTAACTGAGCTCCAAACCCACGTCGAGCGCCAGCTGCTGGAGTTCTCGATCGTATGCGTCAGACATGCAGGGGAAACGAACGCCAAACCTAAAAAGGTCGAGTAAGGCTTATGTAGTGAACAGTATCTACAGGAGCACGTGTGGGATCTCTGCATGTCAAAACGGATCCGTGACAACCGTGGTGATAGATAAACACATATAAACATGCCTTTCGTCATTGGGTCCAGCCAGAGGGTTGTTTCCAGCAAATCCAGGCATGTTGAGATGATCTTTGATGATCATGATGTCGCCTACTTTATAGTCCTGGTTTAGACCGCCAGCGGCGTTGGTGAGAATCACGGTCTCCACACCCAGCAGTTTGAACATCCGCATGGGCATCGTAATCTAAAACAGAACAACAATCTTAGTTTGAGATGCTTTGAACCTCGCATCAGTTGCAGTTTGCATCAGCTGTGTTCTATTTGTGACCCTGGAGCACAAAACCAGTCATAAGTAGCACTGGTATACTTATAGCAATAGCCAACAATACATTGTATGGGTCAAAATGATCGATTTTTCTTTTATGCCAAAAATCATTAGGGTATTAAGTAAAGATCATGTTCCATGAATATATTTAGGAAACTTCCTACCGTAAATATATCAAAACTTCATTTTTGATTGGTAATATGCATTGCTAAGGACTACATTTGGACAACGTTAATGGCGATTTTCTCAATATTTAGATTTTTTTTTTTGCACTCTCAGATTCCAGATTTTCAAATAGTTGTATCTCGGCCAAATAGTGTCCTATCCTAACAAACCATACATCAATGGAAAGCTTATTTATTCAGCTTTCAGATGATGAATACATTTTAATTTCAGAAAATTGACCCTTACGACTGGTTTTGTGATCTAGGGTCACATTTGTGCTTTTTTTTTTAATTGTTGATCAAGCATCAGATGGACAACTTGTTGCACCTTGCAGATATTAGCTTTAAGTTTTAGCGCAAACATAACCGGTGTAAATGCTATAAGTGTTCTGGCCTTTGCATTCCACAGGGTCAAAGAGTTTACGCTTCAATCAGGCACACAACACAACCAGTTAAAACTAATTCGGTTTTCAATAAGGTCATGTGTGGACCAAATATAGTTAGTTCCTGGTTAAGAAGGATCTTTAGGTCAGAGTCCTTCAAGTTTGTGCAACTTGCAATTTCAGTGATATTTAAATACACAGACGTGAACCCTTCTTAAACCCAGAGGCTTGGATCAGCACCCAGGACCGTTTGGATCTGTAATCCAACAATACAGCCACAACCACCTCTCAATTTAACTGTCAGACTGACAAAGAGCCGTATTGTTTACATGTTTTGGACTCGGACGAGCCAGAATGTGTGTATTATAGGGTGCTCGTACCTTTTGGATGGGATATCCCTCATAGAGATGAAACCGTCCCTGCATGCAGACACAAGGTCTGCCCTTCAAAGTGCCGAACACCAGCCGTCCAGCGTGACCGTGCACTGCAGAAGAGAAAGAAATGCACAGATTCAGTAATGATTTTAACAAGATAAGATACACAATATTCTAAATTATTCAGTAAACCGCACCTGTACTTTGGGGGAAGTTGGGGATGTCCCTGTAGTTGAAGGCCACCTGGTCTTTCAAGGCGTCAGCCAGTCCACCCAAACCCGAACCGCACACGATGCCCACCAGAGGACGCACTGCAGTCTGGGACCGAAGCCAGTCAGCTGTGGCCTGGCAATCCTCATAGCTGTACCTGCGAAGAGAGAATGGAAAAAATGAGTTTATGAGGCCCCACACATGACTGTAACTGAATGTGTTTCCACATGTCTGACACTCTTGAATGTCACACAGTCGCATTACACTTTTATACAATATACTTACACAACTGACATACATACAATAGCATTTGCATATGTATTACATAACTACATATTATACAACAATATATCTAAGATGTTGAATACTGTAACATATTTGAATGCCTATGAAGCCTGCAGATACCAAATAAACATATCCTGCAACACAAGCCACTTTCTGACACATCACTGCTGTAAACTGAGTGGCTGACTACTAAAATAAACTTCCTGTGACAGAGCAGCTTTATGATTAGTACTTTGGCCATTGCACAAAAAAGTAACATAAAATCAATTTAGATTTACAATTTAATTGCAGCAAATATACATTTCAATACAATCAATTGTCAAAACAATTAGCCTACTGTTCTCAAAATAACTAGCCGATGTCCAAAAAGCACTTCTCCAAATATGTATGGCATTAGTGGTATTTATAAGTAGTAGGTTAATGGTTGACCAATATTATTGGCTAATTAAACATATCTAGAGAGTACGGTGTCAAGATTATATTGTGTCTGTTATACAGTAGCTATGTTATATTTTACAATTTTATTTTTGTACATTTTAACAGAATGTCAATACAATCAATTCAAAGTCAATTTTTCCCTCCAATAAATATGTACTTCAAAGCGTTCTTTCTTAACCCCGCGTTTAAATCCCCAAACATTCGCTTAAGTAACGGTTCCGTTCGCTTCGCGGGAAACTGTTCAAAACACCACGTGCTCGTCACTGCTAAAAT